ATGTGTCCAAACGTGAGGTCTGAGAGAGTCCGAGGCCTTCACAGGCAGCACCCGCAAACACTCACATCTAAAAACACGGGACTGGAAGCTGCAAGCAGGCCCCAGAGAGCCCAGCTGTTCTGTACCCCAAAGCACACACCAGCTCACACAGACAGCTGAGTCTGGGGAGTCACCTGCACCCCTCCCAGGGCTGGGCCTCCAAGGGGCCACTGCAGGGCAGTGTCCGGCCCCTCCTAGGGATTGGGGGAAGAAGACTCAGGGGTGGAGGGCGTGAGTCTGTAAACTCAGCACTCAGGAGGCTGAGGCAAGAGGATTGCCGCAAGTTTGAGGCCAACCTGGGCTACAGAGTGAGACTCCCCTCAAAAAAACATAAAGAGTAGCCAGGGGAGAGCGGAGTCCTGGAAGACACAGCCCATGCGTAGGGCTGGAGCATGACCGACCGAGGGGGTGCTGCCCGACCACCCAACCTTCAGCCCCGACCCCTGCTCTACACCAACCCTGACGTGGTTTCCTTCTGCTGACCTAAGTGCAATTTTCTCGGGGAAAAAAATACCTTCCCTGGCCCCCAAATCAAATCACCCAGGGAGGAAAGGGGTTGAAAGGAACCAAGGGAAATAAATGTATTCAGCAAGTATATTTTTATTCCAATAAAACTTGATTCAATAACCAACATGAATATTTCATTGGCAAGACACAGCCCCTCCTGCATCCTCCCTGGTCTCGGGCCAGGTTGTCCTCCCTGACTCTGTCTCTCTTCTTCCCTCAGGTCCACAGCTGCCCCCCATCCCCGCCAACAACGGGGGCAGTTCTGAGAACAGTTAGTCTACCAGCCACCGCCAGGCAGCTCCTGTGTTTCGAGAACGTGCAAGGCTGGGCTCCAGCGGGGAGAGCTGGCTTTGAATCCTGACTTGCTGCGTGACTCTGTACACACTGCTTCCCTCTCTGAGCTCCATCTGCACTCCTCCTCCGTGACATTCTTATGGAGAGACATGAGAGCATGGAAAACTTTATACGCATCAGTTATTATACAGACAAGGCGCAAGCAACTTTTTGTTTTTATGAGCCAGAGTCTTCTTATGTAGTCCAGGCTAGCTTTGAAATCACCATGTCGTCAAAGTTGGCCTCTAACTCCTGGTAATTTTCCTGCCTCAGCCTCCCGAGTGCAAGGATTACAGGTGTGAGCTACCTCACCCAGTTCACCCAGCAATTTTAGCCCTCCCACAGACCTGTCCTCGATGGCTTTGTGGTTGTCAGCCATTCCACTATGATCCCCTCATCTACTCCACTGCCCAGGAATTACACACCATGGCAACGGCCATGGCTTGGGGCTGCCCTGTGGAGGAGACAGCAGTACCGGTGCTAACATACCACCCCTCCCTGGGCTCCTGAGGGTGGGTCTTCCCCAGGGTAGCAAGTGACCCAGAGCACTCCATCCCCCAGCTGCAGCGATTGGTCCTGAGCTGGGCATGAGACTCAGTAAGACTAAAGGCATTCAGCCCATTTGGACCAACAGGCTGGAGACCAGAGACCTGGCGCCACTGCTATTACTTGGGAAGAGAACAATGAAGAATGAAGCTGATATGAAAGGAAACCAAGCCAAGATAGAAGTGGCTGAGAGGCCTCCTCTACGCCCTGATGCAGCTGTGCCTGAAGCAGCATCACTGTCCTTTCCAGTTAAAAACGTCTTAAAACTTAAGCTGGGTTTCTGTCCCTTACTTATTTTATTTTATTTTTTGTCTTTTTGAGACAGGGTCTCTATGCAGTTCAGGCTGGCTTTGAGCTCACTTTGTAGCCCAGGCTGGTCTCGAACTCACAATAATCCTCCTGCCTCAGCCTCTCGAGTGCTGGATTTACAGGTGTGAGCCACCATACCCAGCTTTCTGTCCCTTACTTTAAAAAAAGTAGTGCACCTGAAGCATGTCTTTCCATTCTGTTAATTAAGGCTTTTGTTCTTCCAGGGCAATGTTTAGGGAAAGAGAGGCATGGGGTTGCAAGAAGCAGTGGGACCTCCCGTGGGCTGGTCCCAGTCCCCTCAGTCTGGAGGCACCTTTCAGAAAAGCATCTTCCTCGCAAGCACAAAGTCATGAGTTTGATCCCAGGTACCAAAGGGGAAAAAAAAAAAGAATTCAAATGTAGTCAGGAGTATAAGCAGATCAGATGCCCCCTCCCAGCCTCAGTTTCCCTAACAGTGAGATGACAGTGTTGGCTGAAGAGCTCAAACCCAGCTCTAACATCTTGCATAAATATTTTGGTTCTGTTTTGGACACTTCTGGGACTCGATCCTCAACCTTACTATTTCTTTGAAAAGAGATGTCCACGTGCAAACAACAGATCAACAGTGCTGCCTTTGAGTCCAGTTCTAAGGCAGGGGAGAATCGGGCCAGCGGCCTACAAACTCCTTCCAGCCCTGAAGTCATCGAGGAGGAGACAGGCTGTGCCCCGGGGAGGCGGGGGACACCCAGTGCCAGCCCAGGGCCGAGGCTCAAAGGGGTTTCAGTGGGGCACTGGGGGTCAGAGGAGTTTCCCAGAGGCCCTGCTCTGGTCAGGGCTTGGCAAAGCAGGGGCAAGACCCAGGTGGCCACTGCAAGGCTGACTGCTCAGGAGGAGGGGAAGGGAGGGAAGGTGCTGTCTGCTGTCTTTTCTTCTCTCAGTTTGCAAGGGTTTGCAAATTTCAAAGTAGTTTCTGGCAAAACAGGAAGATCTGTCTGGAGTCAGAGGGTGTCTTGTAGCCAGAGTGGGCACAGAGCAGTCTTAAGCGTGGCCCTGGGAAGGACAGGCCAGGTGAGGAGCATAGGTCATCAGGCAATGCCAGGGCGGGTTGGAAAAGGAGGTAAGGTCCAGGATCAGGGACAAGAGATTGATGTAAAGCTCATGGCTCCTTCGTGCAGACGGGGCCTGGTGACATGGGACCGGGAGGTGGAAGCTGACAGCCAGGACTGGGCCAGGGCCCCAGGTCTGCTGGCTACTTGATCAGATGCACTCTCTCAGGCCACCGTGTAAGGTAACGTAGGATCTTAACTGCAAAAGGGCCCGGAGGGCACCTGGGCTCACCTGTAAAGTGAGAGGCTTGGGTCAGGGGGCCTTTGAGCTCCTCTGCAGAGCTGACACTCCCAAATGATGGGCCATAGGGTTCTGCTATGACCACACCATTAAGGTCTCAGATCCTCTTAAGAATCTGTTGGAAATGGCAGCCTGGTTTCATCACAATGCGCATTTGCACGCTTACATACAGAGTTCTGCATGTAATTCCAAGGGGTCTGAGGTCCTACTGGGGCCCAGTGCCGACAGCAGGCTGAGATTTTCTGTTTGCAGTTCCAGGCCCCTTGGGGTTGGACAGAAGCCAGCCGAGAGCCCCACACCTTCTCCTTCCTCCAGGTAAACGCTGGTGGCAGCTGTATTTTGCTCTGAAGCCCCAGTGGCTCTAAACCATCAGTGCAGGGTTGGGGCTGGAACTTGCCTGGGAGACACCGGACTGAGTCTGTCGCCCCTAACCATGGCCTGGCAGGGTGACCCAGTTTGCAGCAGGCCCAGCTGGGGCTGGAGACAGCAGCCGGCGGTGTGCCCGGGCCACACGCAGAGCAGATGAATGGGTGGTCAGGTGTGAGGAAGCCGGCCAAGGCGCCATGCAGGGACACAAGGCACTTGTTTGGATTTGTGAGGCACTTTATGAAGCCCTCCGAGCTGGCTTTTCTGAACGAGAAGCTTCACAAAGACCTGCCGCCGCAGTTGCGGAAAGGCCCCTCTGTTTCTGCTCAGAGTTCACAGGAATCCAAGTGGGGCCTGCGCAGCCAGGAGCACATGTGGAGAAGCAAAGCGGCTCAATCAATGGGCTGCGTTACAGGCCTGTGCCCGGGCAGGCGGTGGCGGGCGGTGCTGATCGCTCCTGCCCGATCCCCTTCCCCTGTGCTGTCAGGAGTGCCAATCACAGGGGATTAAACCAGCTGGGGGCACGGCCTGCAGAGAAAGGCCTGAGGCTGGGCTGGCAGCCAAACGCCAAGCCAGATCAGGGAGACTGGGGCAGGGACAGGCCCAGTCTTTGGGAGAAGGGGACAAAGCCACCAGCAAAACAAGCCGGGTGGGGTGGGCAGCGGGGAAGACGGGCGGGCAGGCAGGCAGGCTCGGGGTGGGGCTGCAACTCCTGCAGAGCGCAGGGCTGGACCTGGAATCCCGCTGACCCAATGGGGTTGCATGAGCCAGATGCTCGCTCGCTCGCTCGGGGAGTTTTAAAAGCCAGCAAAGCAGCTGAGGGTGCTACCTGCTTCGCTGAGGCAGAGGCTGTGGCCACAGAAGTGCAGTAACTGGCCCAAGGTCCCTAGCAGGAGTGGCTAGGCTGTGAGCCCCAGCAGGGCCGGCTTCCCAGGTCATAAAAACTGCACCTAAAGGGGTTCTGTAAAGTGTTGTGGGGTGCTGCTCATCAGAGCTGGGGCTGGACAGGGAATGCTGGGGGCAGCGGGTTCTGGTTCCTCCCCACAAAGCTGATGGGGCCAGAGGCCAGCTGGGGACAGCTGGTGGCAGCCTGGGCATCAGTCTAGGGGGAATGGGGGTTCCAGGCTGTGTTAAGAGGGGACAGTTGCGGCCCCTCCTGGTCACTCGGTCTTCCCCCGGCCCTGCTAATGGCCTTCAGGGGAAATCATCTGCGAGAGGTGATTTTCTGCTGCTCTGAGATCAAAGCCGGGCCTGGAGTGAGTCCCTCACTGGATAATGAAGATGAATCCCAGCCAGGTCTGCCCAGAAAGCACGTTAACTAAATGAAGATGGCAGTTGAGCGACTGTGGAGTTTGTATTCAGGCCAAATTGAACTCTCTTTCCCAGCAAGTAGATGCAAAGCCTGGCTGGTGCCCAAGAAAGGGGGACGCCCACGCCCACGTGTGTATGTGCAGTCTCTCTCTCTCTCTCTCTCTCTCTCTCTCTCTCTCTCTCTCTCTCTCTTTCCACTTGTATCCCTGGCGATGGCGCCACCACAGGGAGGGGCTGGTCCCAGATGAACTGGGCTTGGCTACCTTTAACTCCTGCTGGGTCCCTGGCCAGACCGGAAGGGCTGGAGACAGCTTGGACAGCAGGGTCCCCTGGGTCCCCTAAGGACAAAAGGGGTACAGTGAAGTGAGACCTCGCTTTCAGTCCTGGCTCTTACAAGCCCACGTGACCCCGAGCTCAAACCTAAACATTTCTAAGCTGTAAATTCTCAATTTATAAAGGAGGATGGCCGTGAGGCCTGCCAGCCAGATCCAAGGCGAGCCGAGCTATGGGGATCACCCTGACCCCCCCTGGCCTGTACTTCCCCGCTGAGTCCCCAGAGAGTCTGGGGTGGCAGACTCAGCTTTGGGGAACTTCTGACCCAGATCCCAGGCCCCTGCTTCCCAGCTCTGAGCCCAGTCTCCCTAACCCCACAAGAGTGGGGAATTCCATCCCTGCCTGGCTCTTTCCCAGGGATGATAATGAAGCGCATCACAGTGGACCTCAGGAGAATGCACGGGGGCAGCAGGAGAACCAGGCATAGGTTTGGGCATCCTGGGCCTGCTTTCCTCTTTGCTCTGGCATTGTACAAAGATCACCAGAGAACTCTCATAAGTGCCAACCCCAGCTCTTGGGTTAGAACTCTAGGGAAGAGGCCTGGGCAGATGAGGCCCAACCCCAAGACTCCTCGGGTGATTCTAATGTGTAGCCAGTGAGCAGGTCTGGCTAGAGAAGGCTTTTTGTTGAACGGCCTGGGAGCCCCGTGGTCAGTGCATGTTCTGATTCATGAGGTTGCGGCAGAGGAGTCCGTGTTTCTAACAAGCTTCTGGTGCATTTGACCCAGCACGGTCCTAATAAAGGGACCACAGCTCTGTCATCTGTCCTCATTGTCAGGCTGAGGCTTCTGCACAGCCTCTGCTCTCAGAGCATGCGTGGCACCAACGCACCTGGACCCAAGCTGGCACTCGATGTGGAGGCCCAGGAGCAGAATGTGAGTCCAGGCTGCCCCAGCCACCGTGGACTCAGACAAGGTCCTCCCCCTATCCAAGGTAGACCTCAGGAGCTACACCTGTCAATCAGGCATGCTCTCACTGCCCTGAAAGCCTTATAAAATCAACAGGACACTACAACAGCACCATGAATAAGAAATACAAATTGATATGATGATAAACCCCAGCCGGGTCGGCCCAGAAAGAGACAGACAGACAGACAGGATATCATACTTACAATACAATTTTTTCCCCTTCTTTTACCTGACACTGAAGGACACATGGCCCACCTCCGATGACATCTGGGTTTCTGATCTGGTAGATTCTGGTTGGTGGCCCCCATACACCTGTACCCCAACAGTGCTGAGGTGCGGGGTGCACCAGACACACTCATAGGGGAGCCCTCCACCCCGGCTTCTCCATCTAGCCCCAGAGCCATGCATGGCCAGCCCAGCACCGCCATTTGGAGATAAGTCCATGTCCAGATTTATGCAACATACTCAGGAAGCCTCAGCCCAAGCATATGCCTCTGCCCTTCCACCCACGGCTGAGTCCACACACAGGCGCATCCAGGCAAGCGTCCAAGTCACCTCTGGTGGGCAGCTGCACACCACATCCTCAGCAAGCTGACTACCGAGAGGCAGGGTATCTGTGGGGACATAGGGCAGATACGCGCTAGGATGATCGGACCGCAGGAAAGCGCTCTGTCACCTTCTTCCCATTTGCCAGGCTCTGTCCTGTCGCACGGCCGGCCTCCTGCCCCATCACCCTGTCTCTGGCCACAACCTAAGCAGGGCCTCTGAGCTACTGGAGAGTTGGGGACTGGATCGTAGGCCCCTCCCTTGACAATTCTGAGTAAGCAGACCTGGACAGGGTGGCAATGATCAATCTTTTTTCAACCCAGATGGGCTGATGTGCTGCAGTCAGGGCGGAGGACCAAGCACCCTCCCCTACCTGCTGTCCTGCAGAGAGCACCCAGCTTAGAACCACAAGCACCAGGCTTGAGTTCTGGCTCTACACCTTAAGCTGTCACCAAATGTGCATCACTTAACAGAGCTGGGCCTCAATTTTCTCATTTGTAAAATGGGAACAGTGAAGATGCCTGTCGGAGGGAATATTAAAAAAATGCAGGAAATATTCCAAAAAGGTGGTCGTACTGAACAAACTCAAGGTGCCATCTGTGATGCCAGGGCACCTGCCAGCCTCTTCCCAGAGTTCCTACTTCAACAGCACCCCAAACCCAGCCAGCCAGCACTGCCCAGTGCGCTCAGAGGGCGGGATTAAAACTGGAAGTCCTCCTGTGGCAGTGGCGGCGCCCCCTGCCGGCTGTCCCTGGCTCTGGCGTCTGTCTCAGGTCCTTTGTGCAGCCTCTGCTCTTCCTCTCTTCTCAGGCTCAGCCTCCTTTCAGAGCCCACCTCCCACTTCCAGAAAGACGTCACTCCAGCACCCAGTCCTCTGCCTGCTGCCATTGAGTCCGCACTGTCCTAACTGGGAGTCTCTGAGGACAGGGACCTGGTCTCAATCATCCACAGTCCCTGCGGCACATACTGGTAGCACACGGCCATTATCTAATAAAGGTCTTTGTCACACAGGCAACATCTGCCCTTGCTAGAAAAACAAAAAACAATAAATGCAAATTAATGCAGCATGGAGGTCCTACTCTACACTTCCAAATTAGCAACTTAGGGGAAAAAAGGTCAGAAACATTGGTCACAACATCACACTGGAACTGGTACACACATTCCTGATAATGTTGAAACCTGGAACGATCGTTTAGCAGAGCAGCATGGATCCAGGGTTATAAAAAAGCTCATTTACTTTGACCCCGTAATCCACCTCATAATGCTGCATCCAAAGGAAATCACTCAAAGAATAACAAGTGTTATACATGCATAAAGATATTCGTTGTAACATTATTTGTAAAAGCCCCAAATGGAAAACAATTGGCCATTTAAAATATTTATGGAAAACTATGTTACATGGAAAAATGCTTATGATCAAATGTGAGTAAAAACTCAGAATGTAAAATTATATGTCCATTATAACTACGTAATAAAAACGTAGGCATGCTGACAAGGACTGGAAGAGACTTTGCAGAAATGAAGTTAATTATTGTGTTAAGGAGGCAGAACCAGAGGTGATTGGTTTTTATTTTGTAAACTCTTCCCATAACACTGCTCTAATGCCATTTTTACAATGCAAAAGTTAGATAGCCAAGTAACAGTGTGTGTCATATAAATACAGGGAGAGAATTGGGGAGAAGGGTGATATTTGGGGGACCTGGATCTAGTCTTATCTCTATCCCAGAACATGTTGGGCAAGATTCCCTCTGGTTCCAATAAACGGTGGGATTCTGAATGGAATTGTGCTTAGACAGGGAGGACGGAATTGATCTGCTTTGTGGGTCTTCCCAAAGGATTCTGGGTAACTCCTGGGAAGGCTGACTTTTCTGAGTCTCTCCTATGTTGTCTGCAGCATCTTAGGGCTGGACCAGGAAGGGTCACAGGATGTCACGGTCAAGGTGCTCACAATGCCCAAGGTCTCCCCTGCCAGCGCCTGGTGTGCAGAGCCCGACATTCGGCTCTCTGTTCCCACTGTTCTGACCACCAAGCCCTGTGACACTCTGCATCCCCGCCCCAGTTTTTACCTGCTGTCCTGGCATAATTATTAATAGCTCCTTTTGGTCTCTAAAGCATCCCAGTTGAGACATAGTCACATTACCTAGACCTCTGTAGAGCAAGAAAAGAGGACAGGAGCACTGCCTCTGTGGCTGATGGAGACTGGGATGCGGGAGTCTTCCTTATATGGGTAATGTCAGAGCCAGAGATGTCAAGAAATGTTCCAACTGGCACCTCGGCCACCTGCCCCCTGCCCTGGCTTCCACGGGTTCTCTGTTCTTCTGGGGTTCACTCATGGACACCCACATCTCCCTTTTCCTCCCTAAATCCCACATCTATCCAACACACCTGCTCCTGCGGCTTCCTGCTCCAGATAACTGCATCTTTCTTCTGGGGCCTTTCCGGGCTGTCCCTTTCCTTCTACAAGACCTCAGCGATTTTCTGTTTTAATCAAGTATTCTTTCCATCTCTCTAGCCCCAGCTCAGCCTCTGCTGAGCCAGTAAAATTCCTTTCTCTCTTCCTGGGGACATTTTTCACCTGTCCTTTCTCCAACCAATGTTATCTTAGTGCTAAGCGAGATCATCATTCTGGCCAATGTCATGGGGATTCTCAATCACCTGCTGGCCTGACAGAGACAAAGACCTGCAGGCGGAGACACCTGCGCACACTCACAGACAGGTACAGGCACTACTTCCCGTGTGCACGCACCACATTCCTGTGACTCACACGCAGGGATGTGCCACAGGCAAGACTGCAGGCATTCACACCATGTTCCCACAACACACACGCTTCACACATATCAAAAGTCTCCCATGCAATGCCCACTCCTTTCAGATTCGTGCTGTGCATACAACACATGTGGTGCATGTCTCATATGTGCTGTATACAAGCCTTAGATTGTGCATCCATTACACACCTTGCACACACACACACACACACACACCCTGACAGGCAGGCTTTGCAGTGTCATAATCCATTCTTACAACAGGAGCCATGTCCCCCACCAAGCTGCACAAGGACTTCAGCGAGGAACATTCATTACTGCTAACGAGTATTACATGCCTAATTAACTCCCAGGCTTGGTCTGAGGCTCTGACCCAGGGCCTGATTTCCATTCAGGGAAAAATAAATGGGAAGCTAACAGGACTCAGAAGCTGGTTAGCAGGACTTCAGGCTCACTTGTATTTACCTACCCCATCCCCAAACTGGAGCTGCATGGTAAAAGAAATACTTGGCTGGAGGAGGGGGCTGGGTCCAGTCTGACCACTTTCTGAAGCATCAGACCAAATCCTCAGAGTTGAAGGGTCTCTCTGACACCTGAGAACTGTGACTTTCTCTAGTTGTGCCCCTTGGTGTCCAGCTGATCTGCCCACTGCACCCAGCCTGGTTGGCACATGTCACCTCCTGATCACTACTCTCTGCCCCACCGAGTCCTCGCTGGGTACTGCCTCAGCCCCGCATCACTACATTGGTGAGAGTGCAGGACAAAAGGACTCACCATGCCAGGGGAAGTG